TACGTACGTACAATACGTAAGTACGTAAGTACGTACGTACGTACAATACGTAAGTACGTAAGTACGTACGTACGTACAATACGTAAGTACGTAAGTACGTACGTACGTACGTAATATCGCGCCTATGCTGCAGATCAAATACTATTAAGGTAAAAGTGTTTCCTAGAATTAAAAGACAATCCGATAAGCTGTATAGTATTACTAATATCGTTAATTGGTTAAACAATGTTATCGATTAGAAAAAATAAAAAGTAAATATGATGTTATACAGTAGTTCAAAAAATAAAAAGAATTTTGAAAATGATGTGTGTTTGTGATATATGCCGTATATAGTTTGATCTCCATTTTCGATAATATATAAATCAAAAAAACTGTCCTCACTTTATGAAATTACCTTAGCGTCTTCATTTGTATTTGTGTTTTCACTTCATTCACATTATCCACATTATCCTATAGTGTCTTCATATCAATCATACTATCTTAATACTATCTTCATACTATCTTAATACTATCTTAATACTATCTTCATACTATCTTCATACTATCTTCATACTATCTTCATACTATCTTAATACTATCTTAATACTATCTTAACACTATCTTCATACAATTCCATCTTAGCAATGGATTCGATAAATCATCTCCACTTTAACAAAGAAGCTCGTATTAAAAAATACAGATATATATTAGTAAAGCTAAAAGATCTCCGTATTTCTTTGAAATATAATTTAGAAAATGTTGGTGGATTTGCTGCAATTACTCGTCAAAGATCAAAAATTTTGAGCAAAAGAATGTTTGATTCCTCTAGATTTACTCCTGATGATTGGTCTCAACAAGAATTTATTCTTTGGTTAAAACTTTTAGAAATTGTTGAACAATTTTATGCTTTTGCTTTAATTCGTCAAAATCATAAAGTTCAACTTGTTGAATTCTTAAGAAAACAAGGTAGAGAAGATAAGGCTAAAAAATTATCTAGTGATATTAGTGTAGAAATCATTGATAAATTATATACTACTTTGTTGAATTGTATAAAGAAAGATTCGGATTATTTTAATTATTGTAGAGGATTTTTATATAAAGAAAGTAAAGAATTGGGTCTACAAGATAAAAAGCCTGTTAGTCAGAATGATCTGGATGGTTTAAAAGTAGCTTTTCTAAATCATTATAAACTGTTTGAAGCTGTTACTAATGATCGGTCTGTATGGGCTCAAATAAAAAGACATTTTTAGTTGGTCATTACATATGTATATATTTTCTCTAGGATTGGAATTTCTGAAGTTGGTAGAGTAAATACGTTTATATTAATCCTATTGAAACATTAATTAATTTAAATTAATTTGTATTATAGTTTTTTTTTATCGTTTTTCGACGTACGTACGTATAATACGTAGTATAATTTCAACTATCAAAATTTTTTTTTAACATTTACAGTAATTATTCATTTATTGAATAGAAATAAAATCTTAATTATTCATTTATTGAATAGAAATAAAATGTTAATTATTCATTTATTGAATAACATCATTAAGTACATCCTCTTCGAGACCATATACTACTGTCTACACTTTTGTAAAAAAAAAAAACCAATCTATCTGATAAAATTTTTTATTTAATATTTTATTTAATATTCGGAAATTTAGTAGCGATCCCGAAGATTGTATTAAATTGGAGTATATTATAAAATTGGTTTTTTTTAAAAAAAAAATTAAAGTTTCATATTATGAGCATTTAAGGTTTGATAGTATGAGCATTTAAAGTTTGATATTATGAGCTTTATTTTGGTTGGATTAACATCAACCGATAGCGATAGTTGTAGCGATGCTTTAGAAATTGTCACGGGATCGTGTGTAATAAGATTAGTAATAGTTTGAGTTAGCGTTAGTGTATTAAAAAAAATTGCCTTTTTTAGTAATTTTCGGGAATTTCTGTTTATCCGGGTTTTACAATTACCAACTGTCGGCCGACATTTGTTCATCACTACCGGTAAAACGATTTATTTTTTGTATAGTTTCATCGGCTCATCGGTATTACTTATTTCATTGACAGTTATTTACCGAAAATTCAACATACCGGTAACATAGGTTTAAAGTTAATATTTGATTAGTTCTAGGTAGTGATCCGAATCGAACTAATCGATTTAGAAAATTTTAAAATCAACTAATCAAAGATATTCCGTCTAGTCGGACCGGGCTAATCTGTGTTGATTTCTTTAGTTTGATTGGCTAATCTGCAAATTTAGTCAAAATCGTTTAGTTGCAACTACACTAGTTGTAGGTATCTTAAGTACAGCTGATTTTTGGGACATGTGATGAATTTTGTGATAATCGTCGGCAAATTTCAATATTTTTTTCGGTAATAGAAATGTATAGTTTTCGACAAGATTTTCGGCCGATATAGGATTATACCGAAGTGATATACCAGCCGAAAATTATATTACCGAAATTTCGAAATTTGCCGATGATCATCACAAAGTTTATCACGTGTCCCATTATCTGTTAGGTTAAAATGAGCTGTTGGTAAAGATGATTGTCGGTGAGATCCACTGTGTTCATATATATAATAATGATGAGTTTGGTGTTTACAATGCGAACCTAGCGCTAGCATAACCATCATGTCCATTTACGTACGATATTTAAATTATTTGCCGATACATACAAATTTAATATAATAATGTTTTCATAATAAATTACTACGTAAAAATTCGTAGTAATTTCAAAAGTAGCTTAGAGACAGATTATCAAAAAAATGTCAAACATATCAGATATAGAATAGTTTCAGGTGAATTCACACATCGGTCCGGATTATTTATATCCCGGTATCGGATTTGAAATATTGCCAGAAGCCGTCCTAATGTCGCACAAAAAATGTAATTTGCGTCATATTTAAGGGTAGAGTGTACGTAGATCATTTTTCATATGATCTCGATGGTACATTTTCTTAATTTTTAATATTTTAAAAATTTTTATTAAGTTAACT